ATACCTCTCTTCCTCATTCAGAACAAGATATCTTGGTAGTATTATCCTTCCTCTACTTTACAGAGGTTAAGAGAATGATAGATTAATGATAGGAAGAATAAGGTTTATGTTCCCTGCCTCCCAAGATCTACCTTGAGAACATGTCTTCTGAACATAGTTTAGATTTCTTCACTATATAAACTGGACATCCATTCCTGAACTTCAAGATAAAATGTATACTAACGCGTTATTGGAGCTCGAGATAGTCTTAGATTTCATATTGCTGCTATATATGATTATAGTTTTTTTCATATCACAGCTGCATAGCTTTGGCCTTTAACTTCTGATGCATTATGTGCTTAAGGAGGTAAGGAAAGATTTAAAAAATACATCCTTATTTCTGAAAACCTGATTTCTCTGCACTGGGTGCCTCGAAGTCCCTCACTTCCCCGCCCGCCGGCTGGGGTCGCGTGTGAACTGCTCACGAGCGTAGAGAGGGGACGAGGCGATGGCCGCGACCCAGCACGGGGAGAAACTTGGGCACAAGTTTTAACTTTCTAAAGCAGCAGGAAGGGCCGCGGGGGTAGCGCGGCCTCGCCCGGGCACCGCTTCAGGTTCCCGAGAAAACCGAATCTAGGAAAGTTTTCACTGCAGCGCCGAGGGGTCCGAGCAGCCCGTACTCCCAAAGGAGACGGCGGGCAGCGTTCACCGACCATCGGAGCCGGCGGGGAGCGGAACCGAGTGCTTCCCTTTCCCCGGTGCCAACGAGCGGCCCGGCCTCCGGCGGCAGCGATGCGCTGGCGACCTCGCCGCGGCTCCCTCAGCGCCGGCCCCCCCCCCGCCGCCATCTTGCTGAGGGGCCGGCGGGCGGCCCGCGGAGCCGCCGGGCGCCATGGCGAGGGGCCGGGCGCTGTGGAGCCGCTGCCCGCGGCTCGCCGCGCTACCCTCAGCGGCGGGCGTGCCAGGTGCGAAGCCGCTGTCGTTCAACGGCTCCTGCTGGAGAGCCGCGGAGCCGCCGCGGAGGGGGTGGAGCGGCACCATGGAGGAGGAGGAGGAGGAGGAGAAGGAGGAGGACGAGACTTCCCAGGGGCAGCGGCAGCGCGGGAGGTGAGCGGCGCTCCGGGGGCGGGGGGTCGCTGCCCCCGCGCCTTCCTGTGGGCAGGGAGGGACCGAGCAGAGGCTGAACGGCGGCTCCCGCCCCGGGGGAGAGGCACCTGCCCGCCCTGTGGCTTCCAAAGCCCGGTCGGGAGGGCAGCGCGGCGCCGCGCACCTGCTCCGAGCGCGGCAGCCGGGCTCGCCAGCCGTGCGGTGGTCCCGCCGGGTGAGTGTGGCGGGGCGGGCCGGGCCGGGCCGGGCCGGGCTGCGCTGTGGGGGGCCGCGGGGCAGAGCGAGCGCGGGCGTCCCGCTCGCAAAAGCGAAGCGGTGGGCGAGGTGCCGGGGGCCGCCCGGGAGCGGTCGTGGGACCCGGCTCCATCCTGCGCTGCCCGGCCCCTGAGGAGGCGGGCGGCGGGGCGGGAGCCGGCCCGGCCCGGGGAGCGCTGCCCCGGGGCTCGGCGACTCGCCCCGACTCGCCGCTGGGACCGGGAGATCCTTCCACGGCGGTGACAGAAGAAAAATACTGGAAGAGAAGTGGAAACTAAAAGTCCTGTCCGTAAATTGCCAGGACAGCATGCTGCAGTAGCGCTCGGAAAGAAACAAGTTATATAATCGCCCATAAATAAAAATACGCTTCATGGTATTGATGGTTTAGTGAATGCTTTGCATTGAAGAGGAGGCACGTACAGATGTTTATCGCGAGCATTTTTGTTGCGTTGTATAGTGAGAAGTGAAAGATATTAATACGGTCATTTAACGTAATTAGTTCAGTCAGGTAATCTCAACGATCGGCAGTTATCTCTAGTAAGGATTTAGGGAAGGTATTTGTTGAATGTCTTGGCAGCATGCAGCTAAATTCAGATTAAACTTCTGCAGCAGTGATTTTTCTAGTGATGATTATGATTTCTTACTCTGCTAAATGGAGATTATGAAACAAGTTTTCAGTTTTGCTTAGGTACTTTTCCTTTATTTTTCAAACCACGCTGACTAAAGTGACATCAAAAAATAAAGATAATGACAGGAAAATCACTTCTGTTTTCTGGCAAAAGTCCCTTGAAGAGAGTCATGCATTTTTTTAATACATAGTATCAGCTTTATCAGTTAACAAAGTAGGAAGCCTGATTCATTAGATAGGCAAGACTTTCAGGAAGACAAGAAGAAATATGATTTTTATCTTATTAATGCAAGAATTACCGCAAGAGTTGCTTTAGAAATGCCCCAAATGATCTGAAATTGAAATATCTATTATAAAAAGATAAGGGGAGTTTTGAATGCCTGGAGATTGGAAAGCCCTGTCTGACTCATTTGCTGTGATGGAGAGGAGGAAGTAAGAAATGTTAGTGAAACTGTTCAAGTATAAATAACAGTTAATTTGGCTTCAGCTCGGTCAGCCCCAAAAGAGATCTGCATTCTTTTTAAAAGGAAGCAATCAATTTTTATTTTTATTATTTTCTTCATTTGTATTAACTAAGTAGATTTGAGGAATTACCTCAGCCTTTATAAACTCAAGATTGAACCCAAACTGCTGATTTTCCCACTCAGAAATAACTTTTATTTTCTGCAAATGGGAAGGCAATTGTTTTGTCTATGAGAAAAATGCAAAGGCTGCCATATTAATTAGCGCCTTTATATGTAGCACCTGCTATGAAAATATTTTTCCTTTTGTCACACCTGTGAATCCCTTTCTGACCTCCTTTTTTTTTTTTTTTTTTTTTTTTTTAGAATCCTACTTCTAATACACTCAGAGCCAGGACCAAGGTAAATAACCTGGTCATCTTGTGTCTAAATGCATCTTCTTCAAGTAAAAAGAATTTTTCTGTAAACCAAAAGTTGCACTTGGTTTGAATATTCTTAGAAAATCTAGGAAAAAAGTTACATGATATTACTGATTGCATGTAATATCTTAGTATTTAGCAGCTGTATAAAGATGGGGTGATTTGGGTTTGAATAGCATACAGCTGTGCCCAAGCAGATAAACTTTACAAAGCTATTCAGCAAAGAGAATTGGGCATTACTAAGTGACACTGTGAAAACCCTTTGCTGCCATTGTGTCCCTCCTGTGAAAAACAAGGTTTGATAAGATGTTGTGTGAGTGAAAAGTCAAGTGGTAAGGAATGTATATCAACAATTTTTCTTGTCTAAGACCTGTTACTATGGTTGGAGCTAGTAGTGCTACTGTCTGCTGAGTAAGGCTTATGACAGGAATTCAGTTCTTATTGTTTATAATCTTTAGAAATAGTATCAGTTGTTTTGGCAGAAATCTCCCATGCTGTGGACTGGTTTTTGAGGGAGGGTTTCAGTGAGCTTCAGCTGTTTCTCATAATGAGATCATGGCAATAACAAGTTGTTTATGTGTGTTTAAGTTAAACACTTTGTCTCCTTAAAACACCTACATGTTTAGGATGATGCCTCCAAAATTACTAGATGGCTTACATTTGTATTGGAAAGGTGCCTTGACTCTTCCATAAGAAAAAGAAACCACCACCAAACCAAGCAACTTCAAAATTAACACTTTTGTTGTTGACTAACAACCAAAGCAATTTGCATTTCATTTAGAGTACATGAAGAGACATCATAATCTAGAGTCATGGGGAAAGAATAGAAGGCTACTTACATAAAGGAAAAAGGGTTGTCCTGAAAAATGCTAATGTGTTGTGACATTTTCAGTTTCCTTGGGTATTTGTTTTTTACTGAGTCTGGTGTTCTATCATTTAGAATTTGTTTTAGTGGCTGTGTTTCAGTTAAAGAACCATAAGGGTGCTATATTGCATATGCTTTCTGGCTTTTCAGTATGAAGTTTTGGAGATTCAAACCTTTTATGTTGGAAAGGCTGATGACCTTCTAGTTTAACTCATGTGAAAGATGGTATTTGAACAGTTTCATTCAAGAAAAACTCGTTCAACAAAGAAAAACTTCTAATTTCCTTAACTGACCTGTTAACGATTTGTTTGGATTTCAATAAGTTTGAAGTCAAACATTATAAACAGTTCTATAAAATCCATATAACTATGGGGTGTGTGTACATTCATACACAGGCAGAGGGAGAGAGAGAATGTTGCTGGGACAAGCAGAAGTTGAGTTTATGTTGAAATATAAGTAGATGTACAAAGAATTTAGGGAAGTAGTTCTATATTGTGGAGTAATGACATCGAGTCCTATGTGCTTGGGCTTTGAACTGAAGAGAGGAAGTCAAATAGACAAGCATTTAAATATGTATATAAACAAAATTGTATGACTGTGTGTTAAAAAAAAATTAAAGCTAGTTTAGTGCTTGGGTGTTGCTGTACTTCCTGAACAACTGAGATTTTATGGGGTTTTGAAGGATGATTCTCCGTGTGAGTCTAGAGAAAGTTTGCATAGGACTTTGTTCCTTTCTGCATAGAGAGAAAAGGAAAAAGAAAATTAAAAGGCTTCGTAAATGAGGTGGAGATAGCAGTTGTGCAGTTGCAGACATAAAAGTGCCAGAGTTGACTATAAGTGAACTGCTTCAGATCCTGCTTTGCCACGTGGATCCTTCGGATCAAGGTTTTAGCATGATTTCTATGCATTTTTATGGAAACAGTTCTTACCTTGCCTATGTGGCCATGTCCTTTGAAGGATATCAGATTTCTACCGTAGTATGTTCTAGTGAAGCCTTAGTTTCATTACATGTAGTAGTGTTTATTTTTAGTCAGATCTAATTGACATAAGTTGATAGATGGGAAACCTTTACCATCGGGATGGAGTGCGAGCTTGTAATATATTAAAACTTCATTTTAATTAAGAAAAACCCGTGCTAACAGCTTCAATGTTACATAATAACTTCAAATATTAAACCCAAGATGCATCGGCTGCTAATACATGGGAGTGGCTAAAGTGTGTTTCTAAATGATAAGCTTTAAAGTTTGGTTGTTTTTTCTAACAGACCCATCCTGGAAAGGTTTGCCTGTGTTATTAACTGTAGTCATAACCATAGACCAATTGAAACTAATGAGCTACTCATTTGCATAAATACTTACAGGAATAGAGCTGGTGCCAGAACACTAAAGTTTGTACCGTCCTGTAGCTGGGTTGGTACAAGTTACACGTTTGCTCTTTTGGAAAAGCTTTATTGAATTTCTGTACAAGTGTGAAGGGCCATCCAGGGACGTTATCATTGCTGTTGGAATCCACTGTTTATCTGCCCAGCTGTGTGCATACGCTGTCTACTCTTATTTTTCTATTGATTTTAAAAATTGTCTGTGTTGATCCAGTGATCCAGTCATTGTCTTGCATACCATAACACAGCTGTAATGCACAAACGCTGCTTCTTTATGTTGTCAGCCTGAGTGCCGCAGAGCGGGTAAGAAAGCTTTCATTCCAGCTCTTGTTTTCCACAGTCTTTACTATACATTATGTAGTCATATGAAATTAGTTGTTTAGGGAGAGCAAAGGAAAGCACTTTCTGTTCTGGTGTAGGGAATATTGACTCCTGCTTTCCTTTGGTGACTGCTTCAGCAATAGCACAGAATTACGCTGCTCTTGTGATTAATCATAATGATAGTCTAGGCTGCTCTTTTAAATGTGGTGGCTGTGTTTTGGATACTTTTAATCAAGACTGCAGTAAAATATGAGGGTTTAGAGGGAAATAACTTATTTTAATAGCCTATATAGATAAAGAAATTGGCTACCGGGTCTGTCATCTCTGCTAATATGCGTGGTCACTATGGAGAACTACTGTCATAACCTAAACATAATATGCATGTAACAGAAAACTTCTTAATATTAAATACAGTTCGTAAACATGCTTGGGGACTACAAAGTGGTCATATTGGACAGGGACAGCCCCAACTGGGGCACCTGGAAACAAAGGGAAAATAGTTTTGTATTGTCCCAGTTCCAGGAAGAGGCATCTTTATGCAGTTGATACAACACCTGTAGCTGATCAGGTTTAACCAAGGGTTGAGAAATAGCTGGCTCCAGGTGCTACTGATGGACCTGACTCTAAAGGCGATTTGCATTTGTATCCAGAGGCATACAAGCGTGTAGCTGATAGGCACTCAGTGGCTATGAATAACTTTCTGTTGGTTTAGTTCCCTAACGAATGCCAGGAAAGTAGAGGTCGGAATGTGCAGTAACGGGAGTGGGCTGCCTTTTGGGTAGTAGGTAGCTCTAGAATTTGGTTATAATATGAAGCGTCACTTTCTGAGGAGGCAGCCAGAGAGCTTAAGCAGCATCAGTACTAAATGTGAATGAGCCTTGGATAGGGAATAGATTGAAAATTAAACATATTAAGGTCAGGGGGAACTGTTGAACTGAACTTAGACCTAACTTGGTGGTGAATGTAACTGAGCTACACTGAATGAATTCTAAATGGAGGGTATTTAATGAATTACTTTTTTTATAGCAGCACTGGCATAAGTAGTTTTTGTTTACAACAGTAAATTCCTGTTCTCACCCTTCCCTGTCCTAGCCAGTTTGTTTGTATAAACACTTGCATGGTTACACAGTGATGCAGGTGAATATTACCTGCTTGTCTAGGGGATGGGAACGTAAGAAATGACTATCAGCTAGATCAGTTTCTTGAACTAATTCACCATGTGGACACAAATGTTTGTTTTGGCAAGCCTGGGGGAGTAATGAGGGCAGAGATGAGTTGGCTTATGGTGGTGGCTGCTTAGGTAATACAGCTGTTGTAAGAATATGCCTAACAACAAACGACCGTGGGTAGATACTTCACATTTGTTTTATTTGTAACTATATTTTTTTTTCTCTGTTATGTCTAACTAAAATTTTGCTTTGTTTAACTGTTGATCCTGGGTAAGAACAGTAAAGGATTTATCCTAATTCTATGAGGTTGTTTATGGGGAGAGTTATTTCTGTTTCTGTTATGAACTCAGTTATTCATCTTTCTTTGACAGTACACAAGATCACTGTAGAGTCAGGATACTTCCAGATCTGTTAAGAACAGAGAAGAATTTGGCTGGCAGCCTATAGCTGTGCTGTGAAATGGGTACATCCAAGAATGGAAGAAGGCTGTACTATCATAGATTTTCTGCTTTGTGCATATTTGGAAAATGTGGAAAATAGGACATCAAACAGAATCTCAAGCTGGCTGTTAAAATATCAAATAATTTTAATCAAAATTTCTGCAATGCTTATTCTTGCTTGCAACTTTTAATGGAAAATTTATAAAAGTGTTTATAGATCCCCTGGTTGTAAGCTTGAGAGATCTTCTTTGTGTGAAATCCTAAGACTAAAAGTGTCTGGAATTGCTGTTGCAACTGCTGTTGCAGTCATAAAAAAGTATGTATAGTGAAAGAAAACTTCCAAGTTGCATAGAATTATATGGTTTGCAGAAAGCTCACGTTCTTGCTTTGATAAGTCTACTGTGGTATGATGAACAGCCTGAAGTACTGCACAATAAAAGTTTAAATACATTCAGAATTTTCCAGTCTCAAACTGTTCATTAATTAAAGCAGACAATTCCAGACCTGAAGGGAAAAGCACAGTGAAACTTAGCTGGCAGTCGTTTGATAGTTGAGCGTGCAGGTGCCTTTTTTATAAAAAGTACTTATATGTTCCCTAGTGTCTGCATATACCTTATCTTTTAGCTGTAATACATCTTTTTTTTTTTTTTTTTTTTTTAAGTTTCAAGCCAAAAAGTATGCTTTTTGCAGTAATAAATATCTATGTTGAAAGAAAATTTGCAAGTTGTATAGCAGTATATGGCTCAGATTCTTGCTTTGGTAAAGCTACAAAGGTGTGAGTTTGCTAGGAATTGTGTGCTGTCCCTTTTAGGTGATGTGTAGTGCAGCCCAGTTCTGGAGATAGTCTATACAAAGAGACAGTGATTAGAAATGAACCAAAAGTGTTGCTTCAAAAATAAGGAAAATTAAGGCTATCTGGAAATCTATGGAATGTTTGCAAGGTAAGTGTAAAGTTTTGTGGATGTTACTGGGTTCCAGTAAACCATAGCTTCATAGTAACTCTTTCTTAAACTTTCTGGCTTATGGATTTGTTACATAAGGACCACATTTATGTGGAGAAAAGAAGGATAAATCTGTTCTGGCAGACTTCATGGTTAGTAGCATGTCTGTGTGCTTAGTAGGGCGAACTACCTCCATTTCAGTTGTGGAGTAGTGGATGTTAGAGAAGACTGAGTGGAAAAGGTGAAGACTAAAACAGTAGATTTTATGTTGATGCATTTCTTCAAATAAAGTTAAAATAATTTGTCTTGAAGCTCTGCTGTGTTTAAATAAATATTTTAATGCCAGAATGCTTCTTGTAATGTTAATTATCCTGTTTCCAGCCTTCTTTTAGGACAGAAAGTCTTAAAATATTTAGTTAAACTTTTAATTATTTTCCTAAATAAACAGAATACTTGAAACCAAAATACTTGTATCCAAGTTTTCAGTTATATAAACAATGCTAAAATAAACACTTGACCTCTAACCTGTTGTCCTAAGGGCTCTATCCTGTTTGCAGGTGTAAGCCTGTTTACTGGGACATAAGGTGTGTTTTCCATGCTGTGTCCTGCTCGATCTACAACTTCTCTCTTGCTTTGTACTAGGGACCCCTTAATGTTTGGTACTGAAAAAGCCAGTTATGTGAGCTCTGCATTATGACTCATGTTAGGCTTTATCCTATTCATCAGACACTGGTGTTCTTCCCCCTCTGTCTAGAATACCTTCTGGCCTCATGGATTTGGCATGACTAATGGTCTCCTTTACTAGTTTGTACGTCTTGGGTTTGTTTCCTTTTCTGAATTCAGTTGAAACAGTAAAGCATCTCTGAGCACAGAGTGGTTGTGTTGCATCTTGCCTGAGCCCTTCTTACAGATGGTGGCAATCCACTTGCCCTTGTTGGGGTATAAGTCACCTCGTCCCGAGGGATGAGTTCTGTTTGTTAAGAAAGCAGTTTAATGCTTTTAAGTAATTAGTAGTTTTCTTATTTGTTTAAAAGAGTGGAAAATAGAAAATTTCTTGTGGAACCTTACAATAACAAATATTCACCAAGGACGTGAGCCTTCCCTCTGCCCCTTCCAAGTAAACACAACTCTACTCCAGTTTGATTTTGGTGTCTCTATTGCTCATAATTTGGCTGAAAATCCACTGCTTAAATTCATTTCCCAAGTGCCAAACTATTATTTGGGGAGGGGAAGAATTCAGGAAAACTGGATGAAAAATCAGCTCATTTCTGATTTTCTAATATTTAAAATATACCTGCCAAATCTCCTTGTATGTAGAAGATTTCTTTTGCAAAAGGGTAAGAATCTCCTCGGAATAATAACCAGTTGAGTTTTATTTTAAGCTAATGATTACCATCTTTCAAGAAACGATCACCTACAATTTTTATAACAAGAAAAAATAGATTTCTTTTACTGTATCCCATGAATATTCTAGAATATATTTTACCACTTTAAAGGAAACAGAAATCAACTGGCAAAATTGATACTTCAAAGGAATCTATAGTTCATCAGGATACTTTGTCAGTTAATTGTTTGTAAATGTGTCCCTTTCTTATGCATGTAAAAGGGTTTAAAGTATTCTGTGAGCACTGAGGTCTTTTATCACTTCAGTTGCTTATGGAATACTAATGAAAGTCATGTATGTGCATCATGTGGAAAATATGTTGGCAGACAGATACCTGCAGTGCCTTAAATGCTTTGGCATTGTCTTTGTTTAATCAGCATAGTTGATCCTTGCTTCCCCTAGAGGTTTATACTTTCAGAATAAGATCAAAGGTTTATATGAAAATTTAAGCAAAAGTAGAATTCACCTATTTTAGAGATGAATGAATAGATAAACGGAAGCTTAAAAATAAAACCTTAGGCACTCCAGTCTCTAATATAAAATGTCTTGTGGGAATAATAATTACGGGAGTTATATATATTTAAAAATCAGACATCTGAGATGTTAACAGAAGAATTTCCTGGAATTAAATACCTATCTAATTAAACTTTTGTGATTTGTTTTCATGATGCTTTCTAGAAGAGTAGATGTTTTATACTGTGTCTGCGTGCTTTGCTAAATTAGTAAGATGACTTGGCATTGAAAATGCTCTTTGAAGAATGCCAAAAAAACCCCCAACCCTCTTAAGTTAAAGTAACAGTTAAAATATATATTACAATTTTGAGGGTGTACCATCTGCCGTTTTGTGGTGCTGATTATGTCTGTTACCATTACCATTATGTCTGTTACCATTACCATTATGTCTGTTACCATTACCATTATGTCTGCTTAAAATGGTATAGACAAGTTGAGTGGCTGTTCCGTTGAAGGCTGATTCTAGTAAATGTGTAGTGGAATAGAGAAAAGATCCTTAGAGCATCAACAGTTAAATTAAAATTATGGTGCAGGTGTGGTATCTTATTGATAAATAGAAAATATCTGAATGGAGTGGTTTCAGTAAAACTACAGGGAAACTAGAGTACAAAGCAATTGCATTAAAACAAGATTATGACCAAAGGTGCTACTTATAAAAAAACCATCAGCAGTGTTTTCTGAACATTGTTCATGCTTCTTTATCAGAAGTGAATTTTGATGTGTTAATGTTTTATTTCTGCTGTGTGGCAAAATAATGGTTCTTTTGTTAAGAAAATTTCACAATATTTATTAATTGTCTTATCTTTTCAATTGACACCATATTTTCTATTTAGTAATCGGTTGTTGAAATAGCAGGAACAGGCTCTGCTTTTGAAGTTGGAGCATCACCAGTAAATGTATTTGGGTTCAATTTGATAATACTTCTTATATGTGTGTAAAATATTTGCTGTAGTATTACAGTGACAATATATTTCTTTTTCCCTGTACTTATGAGGGGCACAGTGAGTTATGCAATTTCTGTGGGCTTTAATTCTGTTCTCTGAAAATGTTGTTTGAGTGGACTGGCTTTGGTGCATCAACCCAGTGCTTCTCATATGAGTATACAGCTAACGTTTGAGCATCTGAGTTTGTGAAATAGTAGCTAAGCTAAAGCATGTGGTGGAGAGTTTTCCACAGCACAAACGTCACAATTTCTTATTAAAAATTATTCCGTGCCTAAGCAGTATATCATGCTGTCTGTTCATTACTGGTCACCTTCTAGTTATTACCAGGTAGAATTTGTAAGTACCAAAAAGATGTGTACTTTTTAAAATAGCATCCTATTAAAAAAAAAAACAAAAAAAAAACAAAACAAAACAAAAACAAAAACAAACAAACAAACAAAAAAAAAACAAACAAAAACCAAAACCCAAAAAAACCCTGTCAGAACTGAAATGTTGAAAGTAAATATAGAAACTGAAGCATTTAGCTTCAACTGAATTGCTTCATCAACTTTTAAAATAAAATAGGGATATTTATTTTTTCTACCATGGATATAATGAGATTAATAGGATTCCGTATTCCTAAACTCTTCAACTCTGAAGTGCAGTTTGGATTAAGAGACTGACTACTGAGTTCACAGTTTTCTAAGAAATGTACCAGAATTGTGACTTTATCTAAATAAGCTTTTCTTCAGTTATTTTCTAACTTTTTTGTATTTCACAATGGAATTTAGAACAGACATTGCAGCCATGATTTATTTGAGATGTTCTAATTTTCTGTGGCTTTTCACTAGTTGGTTCTGTTAAATGTATCAAAATTGTATTTGAAACAATTACTTTCACTGTTATTACAATAAGCTTTTCCTTCATTTGGGGCAAAATAGGAAATAGAACCAAATGTCTTGTGTTCTGACTTTTCTACATGTATATGCATCTTGTTGGTATAAGTAATGTGTTATTAATGCTACATGAGGCTGCTGCTCTTACTACAAAACAGTCATCGTATAGGCAAATCCTAATGTACTGTACGGTTCCTGTATCTATTGGACAACTTTGCAGGACTGTATTATATCAGGCACTAAATGTCATAAATTTCAGGAGGAACTCGCTATTCTTCCAAAATGTAAATTAAGAAACCCTTCCCCCTCACTCTTGCAGTTGGTAGATAATAGTGTTAGTATCTGAAGCTGTGCATGCTGGGGAGTAGAATTCTGCCTGAACTACAAAGAGATCTCATGTCTGCTTGCCACAGCTTGTTTTTGAAGTCTTTTGTGTAATAGAACTGTTTTAAAAGCATATTTTGTTGAGGAAAAAATACAGTAGATCATAAAATGAGAAGGGCAGGCTTGTTTCTAATGTGTGTGAGAACATTCAGTCTTATGAATAGTGGTGTTAGTCCAAGAAAAGATTCATTAATTTAAAATTTATTTTAGTTCTCCTCAAAAAGATATGGATAAGAAAACGGATGAAGAGCAGCCTCTGACTGCGTGTAACCAGTACCCTAAAGAAGCAGTGAGGAAACGTCAGAATTCAGGTCGAGGTTCCAGGGGCAGTGATTCTTCCAGGACCTCCAGGAAAAGCTTCAGACTGGACTACAGATTAGAAGAAGATGTAACTAAATCAAAAAGGGGCAAAGATGGGAAATTTGTCAACCCGTGGCCAACATGGAAATCACCAACCTTGCCAAATATTTTGAAATGGTCCCTCATGGAAAAAAATAACAGCAATGTGCCATGCTCAAAGCAGGTAAATAGTAGCATGTTTTCTCTTCTTGACTTAGACTTCTTTTTCCTCTGCTCTAGTTGATAAAATAGGACAGTTTCTAACTAATACTTAGTAAGCATCTTTTGGAGACTTTTCTAAGTCATGCTTTTTTGATTTTATTATCACTTTTTCTTTTCAGAAGTTGGGGTAATACTTTCTACCTCTTTAATTTTAATTTTTTTCTCATTTCTTTTAGTTCCATATCTTTTGATTTATCCAGCTCAGTTTATATATACAAGAACAATAAAAATGTCCCCCTAGTTAATTCATAAATCACACTTACACTCTTATGAAGCATACTTCATGTTATGTGACATAGCTGTGGCATATCTAATCTTTAAAGTGTTGCCTTTTTTTTTTTTTTTTTTCCAGACTGCCATTTACTACATACATTGCATCTTTTTCCTAAAAATGTAATAAACAGTTGCTGTCATTTACTTATGGAAGTCTTTGCAAATCTATGTTTTTCTGGTTTGGTACACCAGGTATTTTAAATTGCATATGTTAAAACTAACCTAAGCAAGTATTTGTACTGAAATACTGAAGGTACAGTAGCAGTTTACTGGGAAACACTGTTACTTGTTCTTGGTGCATTGCTTCTGTCAGATATCCTATATAAAGAAGGAAGTTTCTTTTCCATGAAGAATAATGGATACTGAAAAGCTGCAGGTTATCTTTGTGGCCACAAGAAGTGTTATGATGGCTACAGTTCTGGCAGCTAGTATTTACTTCCTGATGTATTTTCTAATGTGTTGACTGCACTCAGAAAAGCTGTGCTGAAGGGTGCAGAACCAGGGAAAGCATTTTTGAACAAATAGGTGTTAATAATACTTTTAAGCATCCAAGAAGGCATGCATAAGCTATAAATCTCACAGTCAGTATTTAGCAAAAAGCTTACACTTTTGAGTTTTATCTTCTATTAATTACCTGCGAAGGAAGGAGTTTGATCAGCTTTACAGACAGGAAAGCCACATTACTTATTAACACATGATGGTCAGGGGTTTTCTTTAAGGATATGTGGTATGAAACATATCTAAGGGAGAAATAATCTTGGCTGTAATTGTTCTATTATAATAATTTGACTTCAGAAGGAAGCACAGCAAACCTATGTTGGTCTTGGGATCCCTTCCGACAATTTACTGTTTTAAATTTGGTGTCTTGCTTCTAGACATTATCTGCACCTTGTAGTAGTAACAGCAGTTGTGTCTCAGTGTGTACAGCTTCCTAGGCAATGTGCTGCACTGTGACACTTTGGCTACGTTTGTCAAATTCATGACTTGGCATTTTCAATGCCCTTTGGCTGCTGCCCTATTCCAGATGTATACAATAGGCTTTGTATCTTGCCAGCACCAGTCAGAAGCCCAGTTAGTGACTGAAGTACCTAGAAGGCAGTGCTAAGGTGTGCTACAGAGTGCAGAATATACAGCTTCCTGATGGCAGTGGAGAACTGCAGCACTCCCCTTTTAATTTACAGATTATCCCTGCAATAAAGGATGATTATAAAGAAATCCACACTGTACCAGTTGTAAAGCTGTTTCTCTGACCCACTTGGAATTCATTTTGGACTAAATTTATTGCTTTGCATATGAATTATTTTTCATTAAATGCCTGGAATTATTGAAGAGCTCAGTGGAGTAAATCAGAAATAGAAAAACCTAGGTAGGGGTCAATGAAATGCACTTTTGGAGTCCTCAGCCGTTTTGATGCTTCTTCCAGCTATATTTGTTCCATACTGAAATCAACATGTAAAGCACTTCTCAGTTTATTTAAAATTCAAACTAAGGGCTCCATGCTTTATTTAGCACTACTAGATAGCATGTCCTTTGAGCAGACTCCTACTTTAATTTCCACATTGAGTGTGCCTAGTGATACCCTGCTATGCTGGGCAGGTTCAGTTTATCTGTACAAAGTGCTTTGCATATGTAAAAAAAAGGCATATTATCCAGGATATATACTTCAGTGTGTAAAAGCTATATGTATTATAATCATGCCTTCACAACAAGCCTGTATCATTATCCAGAATGCATAGACTTCTTGTATTTTCATTACAGTCTTTATTAGTAACTTTTTTTCAGTGCTGTTAGAGTATTTTTAGTTGTTGGATCAACAATTTAGATTGTTCTAATTTCTGTAAAATCCAGTGGTATTCCAGTACGCACTAAGCACCAAGAATCCTAAGCTAATTAGCTAGTCTTACCAAAGCCTGTCATGTGTTTCTTCTTGCTTTGCATTAGGACGGAAAGAACATGGGAGGGGAGAAGGGGCACAGCAGGATGAATTTTTGTATTACTCCAGTGATGAAGATAAGACAGTATTAGGCACGTTTTGCTTCTATAGGTAGCTGATTTGACATTAATGCCAGATTTCAAAGATCTGTTAGAATTCTTGTAGTATTAATATGTTTCTGGCTAGTCTGACAGAGAACAAAATGTACTATAGCAGGATAAAAGTTCCATAAAATTATGTATTTCGTTCATTGTGTTGTTTTATCCTGTTGTGTGAGTTTTAAGAATTTCATATGAAGTATACTGCCAATAGAACTTGTGTTCTAGTTTGAAATCTTAGAGTTGAGTAATGAGTCCTTGCTGCTTTAAAAGGTAATTCTGGGGATTTTACTGTACTTTGGTAAAATATTAAAAAAACAAAACAAAACAAACAAAAAAGACAAACAAACAAACAAAAAAACCCAAATAGCCCAAAACACAAAACCCATGCCCCAAGAAGTAATTTCTTTGGCTGTTTCCCTGTGTGATTTACTATGATAGCTTAACAAATGTCTGATTTCTGATCTCATCCTCTGAGGTATCATCGATTTGGATCAGAGGCCTGTGTATCACAAACATGTAGGTCTCATACAGAGTCCATGCTTTCCAAGATACACTTCCTTTGTGCTCTTGGTTTGCCTTAGCTTTTGTTCACAGAATTTCATTTAAATAGGTCAGGATACCAGTTGTTCAAACTGTGCTACTCTTTATTTGTCAGTCTTTCTGTCCATGTGTCCTTTGCAAATGCTGTTTATAGTGGTTAGTTCTACCTTTAAATCAACTATTTGAAATACTTAATAGTGTTGATCCTAGTGACATCCCTGTAATGTCTTAATAGTGCACATGGGTTGTTTTACCCCGGTAGGCAGCCAAGCCCCACACAGCCGCTTGCTCACTCCCCCCACTGGGATGGGGGAGAGAATTGGAAGGGCAGAAGTGTAAAAACTTATGGGTTGAGATAAAGGCAGCTTAATAGGTAAAGCAAAAGCTGTGCGTGCAAACAAAGCAAAGTAAGAAATTAATTAATTCCTTCCCAGTGACAGGCAGGTGTTCTGCCATCTCCAGGAAACCAGGGCTCCATCATGTGTAACGGTTACTTGGGAAGACAAAACGCCATCGCTCCCAACATCCCCCCTTTTCTCCTTCCCCCAGCTTTTATTGCTGAGCACAAAGCCATATGGCACAGAGCACAACTCTGGTGAGTTGGGATCACCTGTCCTGGCTGGGTCCCTTCCCAACTTCTCATGCACCCTCAGCCTACTGGCTTTGGTGCTGCGTAAGCACTGATCAGCAATAGCTAAAACATTAGGCTGTTACCAACACTGTTTTTAGCACAAACCCAAAACATAGCACCATAGGAACACTAGGAAGAAAATTAACTATCCCGGCCAAAACTAGTACAAGATATTTGAGTTCAGGTTAATAACTTAATTGTCCACATCTGCTAATTAGCCAGTTCTTCATCCATTTAGTAGTGTTTATTAATATTGCATTATGCTAATTTAAAAACCTAGTTTGTGTCAAATATCAGCAAAAATAAAGTGGATTCATTTAGAGTTCTCAGAATAATTTGTAGTCTACCTCTAAAACCAGCTACTTAAAAAGAACGTTTTCCATGAAAAATGTACTTACTGACCTAAATTGCATTATGACAATTAATTATTAAGTTCCGTATCTGAGTTTAATTTCTTTGATATAATCTGATTTCTTGACTTAATCATGTGTAATTTGGTGGGTTGTTCTAATTCCCATTTTTGAGTATTATGTTAGTTTTATGGATCTTCTACTCATTTTTTTAATTGAAGCATCACAATATAACATAATATAATCTGTGGCTCAGATTTCCACTGCCAGTGTCGTTCCCCCGTACTTAGAATGAAATAGTGTCATGGTTTGAGCCCAGAGCACAACTGCGCATCATGCAGCCACTCACTCACTCTTTACCCCTTAGGAATGGGAAGGAGAAAATGAAGTGAAAGTCTCTGGAATTGAGACAGGGAGGGGTGGCTCACCCATTATGGTCCCAGGACTCAAAAGAACATCACTAATTCAGACACTAACAACAGTACTTAATGGAGTGAGACAGTGAGGGGCATTATTAAATCTTAAAAACACCTGCCCCCACCCCTCCCTTCTTCCTGGGCTCAGCTTTGTTGCTGATTTGTTTACCTCCTCCCCTCCGGTGGCATAGGGGGGCAGGGAATGGGGGTTACAGTCAGTCCACTGCTCCTCCTTCCTCGCCGGGAGGACTCCTCTCATTCTCCCCTGCTCTAGCCTGGTGTCCTTCTCACAGGAGACAGTCCTTCATGAACTTTCACTGGCGTGAGTCCTTCCCACAGGGTGCAGCTGTTCCCACACTGCTCCGGTGTGGGTCAGCCCTGTGTGTTGCAGTCCTCCCAGCACTGAACTACAACAGCGGGGGCTTCTTCCCACAGAGTCCCAGCCTCCTTCAGGCACAGACACCTGCTCTGGTGTGAGGTTCTCCTCAGGCTGCAGGTGGGCATCTGCTCCACCGGGGACCTCTATGGGTGGCAGGGGGACAGCCTGCCCTCACCACGGGCTGCAGGGGAGTCTCTGCTCTGGTGCACCTTCATCCACTCTTCCTCCTTTCTTCTACTGACCTCAGTGTTCACATAGGTGTCTTCTTCCCAACTCCCACGTTCCCCTTCTTAAATACATGATCACAGAGGCGCAGCCACCACTGCTAATTGGCTCAGCCTTGGTGCAGAGGCGGGTCCAACTTGGAGCTGGGGGAGCTTCAAGAAGCTTCTCACAGGAGCTACCACTGTAACCCCCTCCCCTGCTGCCAAAAAACCCTGTCACACAGACTCAGCACAAATAGAGATAAGAAAGGGATGCTTCTTTCTTGGAGAAGCAGCATCTTGCCTCAGTCTAATACTCATACTTTGTTTATTCTTGTATGAATTGATTGTATTGTACTAAACTTATGTTCAGCTTGACAGAAGGTTGTCTATTTCTCATTCCTGGAGACAGTAATGAAACTTTTTCAATATACCTGTCATGTCTATTAGTCCTCAGAAAAATCAATTTCATTCATATTTTATTACTTACAGAAGAATTGCGGGGGGGGTGGGGGTGGGGTGGGGTGGGTGCGGAATGTGTGTGTGTTTTGGTTTTCCCTAACATATGCCCTCCAAATCAATAAAATCTTGTGGAGAAAGTAACTTTCCTGAAGCTGTCAGGACTATTTTAACAAGGGAAATCCTAGACTTCTTAACTGTCAGAGCATCAGCTGGTCTTTTAAGGGAGCGGAGGTCAGCTCTGTGTAAGCTTGGTGATAGCACTGATCAAGTATCATAGACCTAGAAAATGAGAGCAGCAACCGTGGCAGGGAGAACTTGATTATGAACCAGAAGTGCTGGAACATCTGTGATTAGCAGGGAGAGAAGAGTGTCAGTTCTTCTAAAGTGACGTGAGGAGTTCAGACTAGAGCTGTTTGAGAGGAGATCCTTAGCCACATTGTGGCAGAGCTGGAGGTGGTCAGAAGACATTTTGTTTGGGTATTTTTTATAATAGGAAAACTTTTTATTTATTACAAATAAAACTTCTGCATAAGCATCTCAACCAAACTGCAGTAAAGAATGTAACTGGTTCAAAATGAGAGAATGAGTAGTGGCTGGATGATGAGTTTCAGTAGGTAATGTACAACCATGGCTTCCTTTGTGCCAACTTGAGGCTACACACAGAGTCAAATTTGGAAGCTGATTGAACTGAAAGCTCTCTCTTTTCTTTCTCTGGATTTATATTCAGCTGGCTCGGTTCTTTCACCCATCAGACTTTATTGAGGATGGCGTGAGTATATATGCTGGAACAAGAGGGGGGGTGGGAGAAGGTTTCCATAACTTCGTTACACAGGAGTATGCATTTAGGTTGATTTGAAGTCATTCATGGGACTGCACCCTGAACATATAGAGAGATCAGTACAGTGATTTATTCAGTAATAATTAAACTTTAATTACCTTGAAGGCTTCAATAAAACATCACGAAAAGCATAGCTAAGTGCCTTAAGGTCCATCTTAAAAATGAGTTTGTGTTTTATGAATGTTCACTGAATTATTGGCAGGATGGGAAGAGAGAATCATAAAAGCTAACATTAGCTGAGTGAGGTTAACCTCCATGTGCTACTTCCCTATGTAATGGGGAGAGAGGGAGGATCTGCTAAAGGCTAACAGAACAGAGCTTTTGTGGAGTGCTGTTGGGAACGTGGCATTCTCTTTCATCCGTGGGTTTGCGACTTGTTTGTGCTGGGACTTAGGGGATGCATCATTTAGTTGCACAAGCTAAACGTGAGCATTTCTTACAGCAACAGAGTGTGTATATATATATATATATATTCTTTTCCAAGTCAGGAAGGCCAACCACTTGCAAAGCCTTTCCCACGATGCTGTTGGTGCCTTGCAGTGCTTTCACTTCAATGCTTTGAGACTCTCTTTCTCTATTAGGAGGTCTTGTGGCCTGATGGGATGCTCTCAAGCTCTCTCTTTTCTCTCTTGACAGAGAAGTGAAAATGTTACAAAAAAACAAAGATGAAACTAGAAGGAAGTAGCTGGGCCATTAAAAAGGCATTTGGTTTGTGTTACAGATCTCTGGTTGACTGAAAATATAAACAAAACACAAATTTTGACTGTAATGATTTGTGCCTTGTATGCAGTTTTTGTTCCACGGCCAAGTACATCCTGAAATCTCATGCATATTGTGTTCTTTTTTGCTAGGAACTCGATAAAGAGCTTCCAGTGTTAAAACCTTACTTTGTTCAAAAGCCAGAACTTGCTGGGAAGACAGGAACTGGTATGCGAGTCACATGGCTGGGACATGCCTCGGTTATGGTGGAAATGGATGAACTTATATTTCTTACTGACCCAATCTTCAGCCAGCGAGCTTCCCCTACTCAGCTGATGGGTCCCAAGCGCTTTCGAGGACCCCCATGCACAGTAGAGCAGCTCCCCAAAATAGATGCGGTCATGATCAGCCACACCCATTATGATCATTTGGACTACAACACTGTAACGAGTTTAAACGAACGCTTTGGGAGCGAGCTGCGCTGGTTTGTGCCGCTGGGGCTCTTGGACTGGATGCAGCGATGTGGTTGTGAGAATGTGATTGAACTGGATTGGTGGGAAGAAAACTGCGTCCCTGGTCATGATGCGGTAACTTTTGTCTTCACCCCTTCTCAACATTGGTGCAAAAGGACCGCGACAGATGACAACAAGGTTCTTTGGGGCAGCTGGTCTGTCTTGGGACCTTGGAATAGGTTTTTCTTTTCAGGAGATACTGGATATTGTGTTGCTTTTGAACAGATAGGTAAAAGGTTTGGACCTTTTGATCTTGCAGCCATCCCCATTGGAGCTTATGAACCAAGGTATGAAAATCAAAGTTTGGTCAAAATACATAAATTATATACTGATGAAAAAATACACCCGGAAGTGAAAACTGTAGGTATACTTTATTAAGAATATACAATAGAACAGAAGCAAAAGAAAATTGCTGAGTCAGGAGGACATTGCTGAATGACAAAAAAAAAAAAAGCAGGCAATCCGTAGAGAGAGCTGAAATGCCTATGATGCTAGCCTCTGTAAATGTGATATTCTTGGAGAGTTTTTCTTCAGTCTTAAGCACATCAAGGATGAATCAGCTTTCTTCCATGAAAAATGTTGAGTAAAAATCTGGAATTACTTTGTGGCTTTTTTTTCTGAAATAGTATCACTTACTCCAGCCCGTTTAGATGCATGCAATTTGCTGCATTTTTCTCTTGCTTCAGGCTTTATGATGTTTTTTTAACTTACCTGAAGATAAAGATAACTCCTTTATATAGAGCATGAATGGTCTGTTTGTTTAGGCATATATATCCTATTTATGACGGGCTATCTAAACTTTTAGATGATAACGCTCGTATAATGCTGGAAGCAAAGCATGTATAGGCTGGGAAAGGAAGATAGGAATCTGAATAACGTGGTAAAAATACAGTATCTTTCAAGAATTGCCAGGTTTTCTCTTCTGCTTTACCACTGTTCCCTTAGGCTATCTTCTGAAGCACACGCTGTTTGGTGTGCACTGCTAGCATGACATTTTTTCAGGAATGGATTTAAATCTATGGCCTTAATGCCTCAGGGCACCAGTAATATATCCTTATATTATTAAAAATACAGATAAGGAAATAGATTTGAAAAGAGGAGTGAAATACATGAAAAGCTGTTTCATGGATATGTTGGTATATTCCAGGTTATTGATTTTGAGTGTTCTGTATGTCATTCAGTCATATGTGCTCCATATTTGTTTTAGGTGAGCATTTGTTTTTTTGTTTTGTTTTGTGTGTGGTTTTTTTTTATTATTTTTTTTTACATTCTTTGCAAATTACCCAATGGAAGTAAAGAAGAAATCTTGCACTGATTTAGGTGACACAAAAATTTACTTTGTGTTTTCACAGGTGGTTTATGAAATACCAGCATGTGGATCCTGAAGAAGCAGTAAGAATCCATATTGATGTTCAAGCAAAGAAGTCTGTAGCAATTCATTGGGGAACATTTGCTTTAGCAAATGAGGTAAATTTCAACACTACATGAGTTCAGATTTCCTGAGTACACAGTCGTTAATGAAGCTTTGCTCCTGCAGTTAAACTTACTTCTTTGTAAATGTGTATTTAAAATGTAAGCTTTGTATGAATGAAAAGTTATTACTGTATGTACTGTAGTTAAAAACAATGTTTCGCTTTTCATAACTAATTACATAAAATATTTCCATGGTTAGCATTAATTTGAAAGTACAGAGTTAGTGAAACAAATGTGGAGGATTTCTGACATCCAAAACTGAGGAACATGAAAGGTGCGTACACGCAACAATAAAAGTAAGCTCAGCAGTGCATCACTTGGAGACAGTAAGAATTGCATGCCTGTAGGTCAGTATAGCATTTATTAATCACATCTGTCTTGTAAATAAATTGAATAGTATTTTTAATAGTTGATTCATAGTTAAACACCAGCAAGGATATGAAAAACTGAGTTACTCCGAGTTGCTGACTTTTAAAAACATTTTTTTTTATTCCCTCCACCCTAGTCCCCAGTTCTAATCAGGAGGTTATCCAGGTCCCTTCACAGTAGCTAAAAATGCATTGAAAGGGAAGTATGTACATCTACCTTGCTACACCTTGCCTGGTAGCTGTTTTTCAACTTTGTTTCTTTGCATTGGTTGCACTACTTTATCTTATAATTCAGTCCTGATGCTATTATCTATGTTCACTAGATATGTTTTCTTTGACTTGGACATAATATTTTCTATCCATGATGCTTCCAACAAGCTGCATCATTAGTGCCCACAGTACAAGTGCTACTGTGCATTTAGAAGCACAAAAAAAATGGATGCTTTCTCCCTGATGCTGCCTTTTCTGAAATGTAACAAATATGAAGTAACTTCAGGGGGACCTCATTGAAGTGGCGCTAGTTTTTAAACAGCAAAGCTGACAACTTTGTTTTACTGAATGAGAGAACGCGCCACCTGCTGACCTGCCAGCACTTCCTCCTCTCACCCCATTTTTGCTTCTAAAGGAGCTAGTTCAATACATTGAAGATGACAGAATTTTGGATGATAAGCTGTGCCTTGCTAGTTACTCTACAACTGTAAATCAGTATTCTTATCGTTGAAAAACTGCAAATGAAACCAAACATTTTAATTGGACAAATAACTTTCCCCCCTCCCCCTCTCTTTAGATAATGTTTAAAATGTAAACTATTTCTTGTTTAGGGCAGTGATACTCTTTCTTTCCTCCAATGCTGCAATGGTATTTTTACCCTCATATTATTCTTATTTTTCCAGTATTACTTGGATCCTCCAGTTAAACTGAACGAAGCTCTTGAAAGATACGGCTTGAAAAAAGAAGACTTCTTTGTCTTAAACCATGGAGAATCACGGGAGTTGAGCACAAATGATGGGTTTGAATAATGAAACAGTAGCAGTTCCTTGGAAGCCCTGTTTGATTTGAAGTAGTAATTAATGCTACAAATATTAATATGATGTACTTACAAAGTAGATATTTTGGAGTGAATTGGATTTGCAGACGCCAGGTTTGCCAGTTTCAGAACTAAAACTTGCATACCAACTTCATCATAAATTTTGCTAGTTATATTGTTTATAAATTTTAAGAGGTGATCTAAAAACTGGGTAAGGTATTGTCTGGGAATAACTTGCAGTTTCAACTCTTATGTACAGAACTGATAATTCACTGTTTTTTACAAAAAATCTCTTCATTTTACCTGCAGCAGCAATAATAACCTCAGCGCAGGACATATTGTTAGAATTAATGGCTGACTTGAATTGGTTGTTGTTAGAGTGTCATCTCCTACTTGTTAGTCATTAATCTTCAGGTTATGCCCTGTGCCTTGATAGCTTCACTGTATGTTTTGTGGGGTGGAGTCTTCCAGTACAGCTGTGTTGTTAAAACACAAGCACAGTAAAATAATTATTTTACTGAGTGCTTTTACATTTTCATATATTGATGAACCACAAAAGCTGAATTTTACAATGATCTAAAGAAACGTGCCTTTTAAAGAGAGAGATAGTTTAATATTGCATCACTGATGTGTAAAACTTACTGCTGGCCAGAGTATCTGCACACTTTCATTGTTCTGTCAGTGTTTTTAAGTTAGGCCTGAATGTGTCTAAAATAACTTTCTTATCAAATGCAGTACATGAAATGGAAGAATCTCTTAACGGCGCTTGTCTTTGCATTGACTCAGCCTATTACTAAGTACTTTTATTTTTTTAAGTGAAAAGTCTTAAGCAAGGGCTGTGATATTTTTCTTATAGCTTCCCTATAATTTTAAAGTTGAATGAGAGATTACAACATTGTTTAGTATTGTAATACTTGGCTAAATGTATCTGTATCAAATTGCCATGCTAATTTATAGAATTAAAGCCTATTGTTGCCAATAAAAAGGGTTGTTATTTTCCTTCATAATTAATTGGCAAATCATTTTTTCATTCATGATTTGTTTTGGTCTATGGGATGCATGTATTTTTTTGGTCTTTTTGTGCATTACGTTTTATGTTTATACTCCATGAAGATAAATTAAAAAAACACACATTATTTCTCTGCAATTTAGACATGAACTTCTGGCAACTAATTAAAACCAGTTAATGAGATTTCATGCTAGACCAAACTGAAGTAACCTTTTAACCCTTGACAGTTATCTTTTAAAAATATGTATCAGGAAATCTTAGAATTCTTGTAGCTCTGAATACCAACAAAGAACAGCACAAGGAGGCAAAGATCAGTTAGTCCAAGTTCATGCTGAGGAAGGGCTCTGGAACAGAGAATTACATTTACATGTAAAAAAGAGTATCTTATATTCTGTTGGTGGGACTCATATTTGACAAACATCAAATTTATTTGAAAAGGTAGTTCTAGTATGGTCTAGATGTATTCACTGGAATTTGCTCAAAGCTGGTTTAAACCTACTTAGTCATTCACTGTTAATTTTGGGAGGGTATTTCAGATGAAATCTCTATTGAGCCTTGTATTTACACAATAGCTTTAATAACAGTTTGGATAATATAATGTGTATAATGTTCATAATATTGTGGAGGACACCAAACTGCAGGACGTTTTGAGTACTTTGAAGGATGTGGTTAAAATTGCAGTTGTTGAGTTTTGGTTTATTTTTTCAAAATCACCAATAGACTATTCTGTGCTTTAGAAAGAAAGAAAGAAACTAAAATACAGAATACCTAGATAGGCAGCCACATAGCAGAGAAATGCTGACTTACAAGGACCCAAGACTAAATGTCAGTGATGGCATACGTTTTGTTTTGGATCTATTAGTTCACAGCATTTGTGTCTAGAATGGTGACTCTTACACTTTGCTCAGTGCTGATAAGATTCCATCTAGGGTGGGGGGGATAAAAAAATTGGACACACTTGCATGAAGACACATCGGACAGCCCTGCATGATTTTAAAACATCTCAACAGCGTTGTTCTATGAAGAAAACATTTAAAAATAAGTCATTCTAGACCAGAAAAAAAAGACTGAGACAATACTGTAACAAGTTTTCATGTGTTTTTAGAAAAGGGAACAATGGTCACTTGTTTCTGTTGGCTATCAAAGCAAAGGATAAGAGATCAACTTTAATTATCAAAAAGATGGTATTTGAAAAACTTGGGTTTGGGTTGGAGAACATGGAGAGGGACTTCTAGACATCTCCATTGCTGAGCTCAAGAAAACACATATTCATCAGATATATCTAGAACAGACTAGTCTAAGTTCTTGTCAGAAGAGAAAGGTGGGACTGGTAAATTCTTGGTGTCTGACCTAGCCTTTGTTTTTCTTTGCTAACGCAAAAGCCGAAATAAAAAATAAATCTACACAAAGTGGCAAAATATTGATTGTAATGTAACTTGCTTATTACAAAATGAGCAGTGGGAAGGAGAAAGGGAAGTTCACTGTCAATGCAGCAATTGTCAGGGTTCTAACTGGGAACCATGCCAACTTCTATTTCTGCCGTAATTGTACTCCTGATGAGTTAAACCCACCTATGCAGATAAATTCGATACATGTAGCTTTACCCCTGTATTGATCAGGGCATAATTATGCTGCATCTTCAAGGTCACATTTTTCTTGCAGTTTTAACTGTTTGCAAAGTCACCTACTGAAAATAAATGTCTATTGCATTACAGAAAGAGAAGAGAGTAATATTTTTATTAAGAGCAGAGTGAGTGTATTAACTTAGAAAGATGAAGCATCTGGTAACAGTTTAGGTAATACTGGTCTCTTAAAAATGGTGCAAGGTAGAAAACTTGTTTTCTAGCCTCTATATCTGACACCTTTTTTAACTTTATGATGCAGTATTCAGGAAGTTTCAGTAGTCTCAGTTTAGTATGAAGTGTTTTCTAGTATGATTTATGTTCATCAATGAAACTTCCTTCAGGTTCTTTTACAATTATATGTATTCTACATCATTTTGAATTAATGATGGACTGATGACTAGAACTTTATGGGGTCTAACTCAACACAAGTACTTACTCGAATGATGCTCTAGTTACAGAGAAAAAGGAGTAAAACCCTCCAAGGAAAGCAGGCTCCAGGGCTGCTACAGAACAGGAAGCTTTTGAAAAAATGCGTATGATACTGCTCTTTTAGACTTTTTTTATAGAGATAAGAACGTTGAATTGCAGTTGCAGATAATCTTTGACTCGTAATATTTTGAAAAATAGGTATGCTTTCCTTGAAGTGACAATTTTAAAGCAAGACAAAGTCCTTTTGATTTTTTTCAAGAGTAGAAAGTAGAAAAAACACAGCTGTGGTTAACTGCACTGCAGTTCAGCTAAATGGAACAGATATACTAAGCCTATAAGAATGTAGTCTTAGAATATATTTTGTGGAGGAGAAAAAACATAGGCTGGGTAACTTTAATATGCAGTTTTAATTGAAAATACTATTTTTGCAGTTAGCCAGTGATAATTTGGTATTTTTTTAATTTAATATTTTCTAAGATTCACCTGGACCCATTTAGTAGGTACCAGATTAACAAAACATAAATGTCTAATCTCTAATTGCTAAATCTTTAATGCATCATTCTATAGAGGTATTTATTCAACGGCTGTAAATATTTAAGACAAGAATCATTTATGACACTGAGCAGAGTATTTTGATTCACTTAGCCATGGAAAATGTTCACTGTACATATGAAAGTTTTCATGTTTTAAACTATTCCTCCCCTTTTGTGTACATGTACCAGCTGTACAGTGGTTTCTCAGCACTAATTTAAACTACTGCTTTTATTTTGCTCAGAAAAAGTGTCTGTTATACTCTATTAAATACATTCCATTTTCTTTTGTAGTAACTGATTTGTGCCTAGTAATATGGTAGTGTTCAGTATTTTGTTGGTTGTTTTATTGTTTGTTTGTTGGTTGGGTTTTTTTAGCATAGCATTTCTAAGATTAGGTATTTTCATCAGGTCAGTCTGTTTTTTTTAAAAAAAAAACCACTATTGTGTTAATATTCTCACAACTTGTTCTTTCACTTCTGGATCAGGATGATGCAACAAACATGCCAGTTTCTGAGCAAATGGGGTAGAGTCCCTGCAGAGTGTAAAGAAAACTGAATCTGCACTGTATTGGTCCTGCATCATGGTGCCATCTTCATTGTTAATGTTCTTCTTCAGGTTTGCTGCAAACACCAGGGCTCTAAGCAGAATGTCTCTGCTTATGCAGTTGTCAAAAAGTAACAGCAATGATGGCACCTAGGATATTAAAGAAATAATCCACATTTAATCACCAGTAGTAAGTACATGTAATTAAATCTAACTTTAAAAAAAAAATTAAAAAAAAAATCTGCACCTAAACCATCTAAACCAGTAACCCTATGAAATACCAGAACACCATATGCTGTGAAAGCATACCAGAAACTTGCACAGCATGCACATTTCTTCTTTAGAAAAGACTGGCTTGTGCATCGCAGGCTAATAAATGCTTTGTAGTTTCAATCTTCAAAATGTGGCTGTCTGGAAAATTCCCATTTGGAAGAGAGGGTTTGCTTTCCTTCTCAATAATGTTGCTTTGCCCTCTGCAGTGATCTGCATATTTTTATGTTAGCACATCCGATAAGCAATAAAAGGATACACTTCTAATAGAAAACTGAATATTTAGCTACCCTAACCTTGTTTTAATAATGAAAAGCCAGTAGTATCTAGACTAGCTTTGCCCGTGGCAGATAGCTCAAGAAGAAAAGCCACTGCATGCTTTAAGAAACTTATTTTGGGAAGGAGGCTGCAGCACCATTCTATTCCCTGACTCTTTGTTTTGGTGTGAGGAGAGATTATAACTGCAATAAGCCTGTATGCCAACGCCAGCAATGGCAAACATCAGATAAAGGTCTCAACGAAGATGTAAGGAAATGCTCAGGGCCAGTACACCTACAGTGCTCAGAGACAAGTTTTGTGGCTGCATTTGAGTAAAGCAGAGGGGATTTCAGTGGAATTGGGTCATCTGAGGTACAGTATGTTAGCTATAGGAATGGCTGGTGAGAAGGATCATTTACAGTATTGATTGTATTTGATGTTTGTTCCTGGTCTTCAATCTAGACACTGACTGCATGTCTGGAAATGAGGTTTTGGGTTGGTTTTTGAAACTTACCAGGGTACCTTATATATATTACATACAAAAGTTCGTGGTACTACCCCTTTGGTGAAAAGGGAAGCTGAGAACAGGTTTCTGCAAGCTGCCACTGATTATCTGGAATGGTACACAGGAAGTACGACCAACTGTCGTGGCCCTCTGATTCCCTCTGCAAGTATGGTACCTGAATTACACTGCACTCTGAAAGAATGCTAGCCTGTGAAAGAATGTACTTCTGGCTACTAATTCTAACCAGGTACTGCCTAAAATACTACTCTGGAATTGCATATATGCTTCTAATACATTAAAATTCTTCCAATGCACGCACCTATGTACACACATATACCTGTGTAACTGCTAAAAATATAATGAAATGGCAAGAACCTTACTTCAGCTCTGAGGAGATGTCTTGTCATGGCTGGGTTTGCAGATAAGTTCACAAGCACTTTCAAAACTTGAATCTGAAATGAGGAACATGCAAGTTCATTGCAAGCTCCAAAACCAGTAAGTACGGCAGCAATGGGCATCAATAATGTCAGTGCTGACTTGGAAAGGAAACGGTAGAATGGGTCAACTAACATCTTGAGTTGCGTGTTTCAGTCTTTGGTATAGGAAAAAACAGAGCTTATGGAGTCACTAGCATGTATGTGCTAATTACAGACATTTTAGAAGCAAATTCAGTTTGACTTAAACAACAAAATAAGGCAAGATCTATAAACAACTCACAGTAGGCAAAATACAGACTATTTTTAAAATATATAGAGGACGGCTAAGTACTCATTTCAAATGTGATCAGAAGCATATACAAATACACCTTTGTACTTTCCTGGACCTTGTGACACTAGTATCTTAACTAAATGCTAGGAAAAGGCCAAGTGCTACTTATTGTACTTAAGTAAAATAGGTCTGCTAAGTTCAGTGGAAATCGTGTTTTGGAGAACTGGTTTTGATTTGATAGAGCAACTGAGTAGACTGATAATGATGGTACTGTGACACCTTGAATAAATGCTGAATTTGGTCCCTACTTGAAGCTTTTCTATTCTTTCACTATTACAGTAATCACAAATAAGCACAATTTCCCATTGCAGTCACTAGGCTTGCAAGAGATGTAATAAGCAGAAGGGAACAGAAATCCATAACTGAAGTTATCACTGCTTGGCATGTTTCCCTAGAGAGATTCATGCACCAGTGAAGCCTTTCACATGTAGATTCTCCTTGCCCTGTGATGCAGCAGCAATGTTTAGTGAGCAGAAGAGAATTCTGGAGTTGCTATAGCAAAGGCATGGGACAACAGCAGTGCACACAGCACTGCTTTGGTACAGCTCTAGCCCTACGGTTCCCCTATCAAGATTCCCTTCCTTCCCTCTTTCTGAATTTACATTGAGAAAGTAATACAGATCCATATTTTGCAGATTTTATGAACTATCTGCTATTAATGAATATTTGATTTTCTAAGCACAGTCTAAACCATTTAACAAAACAGTAAAAGAAGAAGCAAGTAAAGCAGCTTCGTAAATGGTTTGTAACAATATACTACTCTGTACCTGTGTCCTTTCAGTTCCTTCTGAAAGCAAATGAAGAAAGCATGGAATTGAGTTTATCATCTTATGGTGGTAGTCACTGGTAACAGACATATTTGTCAACAATCTGAGTCCAGCTAGCTGCAGATCAGAATTCAGGGGAGCTGACTCAACATCTCTACAAACTTGTGCAATATATACCTGGGGAAAAAGGGAAAGCGATAAAAAGAGACGACACTTTTTTATACAAGCAGATTTTCTATTCACAAATAGTATCAGTGGCCTAGCTACAGTAGCGTAAATACTTCTTGAACACTGCTGGCTGAATGCACAGCCTGATCAAGGTTCTTACAAAAGGACTTGTTTCCATCTTGTTTTGAATATATTCAAACATTCTATTGGCATGATAGAAGCAGATGTTACAGCGTTATGCTCACTAACCTTTCTGAACCATAAACTGCTCTGAAAACCTAAATTGCTTTGACTCCGTCTCAGAAGTGCTACAGTTGCTTTAAGGAGTTATTTAAAAAATAATCACTTACAGCAACTAACATCTTAAATGTTGAGAACGAGCTAAGGACAAGTCTTGGAATGAAATCTATCCTTCCAACCATGTGGCCTATCCACTGCAGTACTCCTCAGGAACAGTGATGATAACTGACACTAACAACTATTATTTACCAAATTTTCTTCTGGATGACAGTATACAATGAATCTTGGTTTTGAGTCTTAACTAAGAAAATAATTACTTTGCATTTACCCAAGGAGTTGTTTTCTACCTATATGCCTGTATAAATATTTGCTATTGGCAAGCACTACTTTAAAAAAAAATTGCTCAGTGCTAAAGATGCTGCCAACTACCATGTACAGTCAAACTGCCTTTTTATCAAGCTAATGGAAAACTAGTAAAAATCTTTAAATCTGCATCAGCTCACTGCTTGGCCACTTCTTCATCGATTGCTTAATGTCAAAAGTGGATGCTTTTTTGATGGTTGGACCTTTCACATCCATAGCATCTACTATATTTACCAGCAGGACTTGTTACTATTTTTACACACCGTTCTTCTAAGATGAAAGTATCACCCTGAAAAATTGGGTTCCTACTATCCCAGGGGATCAATTATTGTTTTTGTCTCCCTTGCCTAAGGAGTCATGCTAAATTCAGTCTGCAATCCAACTTATTAAACAACCACTCCTGATGTTCTAGGCGTGTTTGGAAATATCTTGCCTCACATAATTTTAAACTTAGCAGCACAATCTCTGTTTGACAGCCTTTGGTGAAAGCTGAACACAAACTGCCTGGTTTTCTAATTGTCTTTTAAAAAAAGTTGTCAGTGTTGCAATGCATTTTTAAGTTATTCTTTTGGCCTTGGGACACACATATCATCCAAATCTGCTGACTCGTATGTCTAACATTAAAACATTTGCACATCCTGGCTTATATTTAACAAATATGCTGAAAGCCCTGTATTATCTCTTGTGTCTCAATTACTTTGATTTTGCCCTTTAAGAAACCTACCTGTATCTCTTCCTGATTTTTAACATTCATGCTCAAATTATTAAGCGCATTTAGTGCTTTTTCTTTAACTTTGGGAACGCAATCTGAGAGCATCTCTCCAATAACAGAAAGGCCATCCAAATTTCGGATTATATCCTGAAATATAAAACAGATATTTAATTACACTTTTTAAAATTTTTATTAAATTCTGAAGGCTTTCCTCAAAGTTTCCATTTTAATGCAAATGGAACGTGTGAATGAAGTCTTCCAGAGCAGGCTACTCTGTTTAAAGAGAGAGTTTGCAGGTACTGTTTTATTGCTTCCATGGAAATTAAGAATAGTCCTGCTTAGGGCCAAAGTAGCATTTGACATTATTTGACAATGGCACAACACCTTTGCCTTTAAAATCTGGCCTGCAAAGCATGTTTAAAGCATCTTAGATTATAAAGAATCAAAGGTAATTGTTGCATAATGACTTTACAGAATAGCTCAGCCAGGTCACAGTACCTAAAAGTCCTGACTGAACAGAACAAAATTTGAAGATGCAGCTTTATATTATTATGAGAAGAAGTTCTTTATCTTTATTTTCCATTACACTTGATTTCATTTTTTTTAGAAATCTTTCTCACTTAGGCTCTAACTGTCACTGAAAAAACCCATGTATTGTTTTCAAGAAAATGAAAAATGGGCCAATAGAGAATGGGATTCAGTTACTTTCTGTGATTTATATTAAGAAAACAGTTTTGAGAAGCCAGAACAGACAGTTGTCATAAGTACCATACAAAAAGGGAAAAAAAAAAAAAACAAAAAAGTGGGACCCTGGAGGTTAAATCTTTACAAAGGCATGAAAGCCTGCATCCAGCTCAAAGTTTTTCTGCATCATATTTCCAATTGTTTTGGAGAGACCCGAATAGTTGGAACGTTGCTAAGATGTAAATGGCACACAACTTTGTAAAGATAAAAAATTAGTTTAAGTTATCTCAGTAAATTTCAGATCTGATCCTGAAAGTATTTAACCCTTCTCCAATTCAATCCTTTAACATTACATAACTATAAGCAACAAAAAATATATTTACAGCACTTTTAAAATACAGAACTCTGTACAGACTTTATGTTGTACAAACAATAAGCTCAGATAAGTTCTGTGAAGCTGGTAAATTATATTATTTGGGCTAGCAGAAGTTAAGGCATGGACATAAAATGGATTTTCAAACACAAGCTATCCTAGCTCAGTACTGTCACTCTTCAGAAAAAGAGTACCTCTCATCTTCCATACTGACTGGTATTGAAACACTATTGTTTTCAACAGAAAAATACTTACTTGATTTACAGAGAAGGCAGCACTGTTGCTGAGAGTGATTAAAGCTTGCTCTTGAATTAATGAATCATCTGTGACCTGGAGCAAATGAATAAGTTTCTGCAGAGCATCCGCATCCATAGTATGGGTTGACGCTGGAAGACTGTTTTCTGTCAGTGTTTAAAAATTAAATACTTGATACCAAGCTGGAGACATTTCACTTAATTACCACTTACTGTTTTTCACAAAGCTGAGGTTTAGCTCTCAGTTGCAGAATGTGTTGTTCTAAGTTTGGTTGTACCCAACGGTCGTATCATGGCAAAAAGACTGTGTTTTACAACAACAAAAAGACTGTGTTTTACAACAAAACTTCCATCCTTTTTCCCCCCGAGTCCTCTGACCACTTCTTTTCAAAGTAGAAGATAAAAAGAATACATAACATGAGCTTGAGGTATGTTACTTTTTGATTAACCAACAGCAAACCTCCCCTTCAAAATTATTAGGAATATACGCCAAACACATTCATTTTTTATATTGTGTTCCCTGAAATGACATGTGGAAATCTGTCTGGACACTGTAGGAAAACCAAACTCCTGACTTGCAGTCTACTACTTCCAGAAATTATGATAATGATGTTTTGCTAGTACTCTGAGGTCCTTTGGCAAAGTAAGAGCCACAATGTTAAGAACACTGCCAATCATGGCATCACTCAACCGAGGAAGGCTGTTTCTGAGTCAGGGTGATGTTATGGAGTACCTGGCTTCCATAAAAGGGTGACACAAATGCCATCAAAGACTATTTCCAGCCAGGTTGGAGGCAGGACTATTTAGCTAGCTGAACAGCCTTGAGACCCGATCTGTGACTACTGGACTAGTCATAGATGACTTGAGATGACTTTTGAGAAGCTAACCAGTGCTTTATAATTCCACATATTTGCTGCCACCACCTCATCTGGAAAACACCCTAGTAATCTTTGGGGAAAAAAAAAAAAAGGTCAAAGTTAATTATGAAAATCCAAGAGTTAGCTTGAAAAACAAAATCATTTTTTCTCCTCATCTCATCATCTAAACACTTTGTTTGGCTTTGAATTACTGGCGGGAACACAAGTAACTTTAATAACAGCAGCAAATTAGCACATTAAATACACTGATTGAAGGTATGCTTTAGGAGACTTTTAAAAAACCAGGCTTTTCTAAAAATAAACCACGCCTAGAGCTCTTTATAAACGTCGCGTGGCCGTGCGAGGGACGGTAAGCCGTCCCGTGGTGCCCCCTCGCACCGGTAGCGGATCTGCCGCCGAGGCCACCGGCGGGCAACACCCCGGAGCCGCGCTCCGGCGGGGCTGGGGCCGCCCCCGGGCCCCGCCGCGCTCCCCGGGCCCGGCCGCCCCTCACCTGCGGGCGGGCCCCGGGCGGCCCCGGTTGCAGCCCGCTGGCCCCGCCGCCACAGGCAGTAGCAGACGCCCGCCCCGATCACGACCGCCGCCGCTCCCGCCGCCGCCCGCCGCGCCTCCCCCATTTCCCTCGGCCGCCGCCCGCTCTCCCGCCCGCGGAAGCCTCCGCCCCATCCGGCGCGGCCCCGGCCCGGCTTCCTCCTGCGGGGGACTGGCGGCCGCCGAGGCGGCAGCTCTGGGCGTGCTGCAAGGGGCGGGAAGAGAAGCGAACCCACGTAGCGAGGATGCGCTGCAGCTTCTGGTTTGACAGGAAAAAATAACCCGCGCCCCCACGCCAGTCCGACCACCTGCACCCGGTACCGAAACGGGCTTCCTCTCTGGGGAGGCTGCTGCAGCCACGCACCTGGGAGTAAAATAAAAATACACTTTTTAACTATTAAGCTATTTGTGAAGACATAATTGGACCACGCACAACGCCCTCTAAAAACCTAAAGCTCTAACAAAATATAACAATGTATTAAAAATACGCTGAAAACATTTGCCTCGGGGGTATGTATACCTGCTGGCCAACTGCTAGCGCTGTCTGTGCTTGTTCGCTTTAAATACTAACGCAAGGCCACGGTTTCTCAGCTGTGATCTCAGCTGCTGCCCGTTCGGACACCCGACACCTGCAAGGGTGCTGGGCCGCCGCGGTGCAGGACCGGCAGCGCTTAACTCGGCTGCAAACCGGGCTCGGGGGCAGAGCCACGGCGCCGGCGAGGAGATGCGGGCTCCGGGCCCGTTGCTACGCGACCGCCGCCGCAGCCGGGCCCAGCGCCGCCATGGCGTCCCTCCGGACCGCCAGCCCCGAGCTCCGAGCTTACTTTAGCCGCCACAGCCTCCTTGACATCTACGAGGTAACGGCGGCGGAAGCCGCGAAGGCGGGCGACGGGCGCATCGCTGCCCCGCACCGCAGCGAGCAGCGGGACACCGCCGCCATCCCCCCGGACCCCCTGCCCACCCTCAGCTCGCTTTCCGCTTTCTGCGCAGGCGCCGCCGCGGGAGGGCGGGAAGGGCCGTCCGGCGCCATGGCAGCGCCCGCTGGGCGCACGTCGCCCGGCGGGGTCCGGGAGGCATCTCCCTCAGCCGCCCCCTTCTTCCCGCCCCGCGGCCGGGCGTCCTCGCTGGTCGGCAGCCTGGTCCCCGCTGGAGCCGGTGGGACCACAGACTCCCCCGGTAGCCTCCGCGTCAGGGAGGTGACACCCCCGGGTCCCCTTTACCCCTCAGCAGTGACCCGGTACCGGCTTGTTGGATCCCTCAGCGTTGGCCAGGGTGTTTCACGCCCGTAACGCCGCGTTCTGCTCGTGTGTGGTGTGTTTTTGTTCTGCTCCTTTTGTTAATAGTTTGCTTCCTAATAGTTAGCATCAAACAAGTAATGAAAACTTTAGAAGCAAGATGGAACAAGGTGATTCTGCTTAATCCATGTTGAAACTCAAACGATGATTGAAACGATGGCAAATGCAGTGAGGTGCATTGGCAATTTCCCTAGATTTGCTGAAGTTCTTCAGGTTTAATTACAGAAGTACTTCTAGATTTAAGCTGGATGCTTCCCTCCTCCCTAAGCACTGTGGCTGCCATTTGTAGTTTATAATGACCTGACAAAGATAAAGATGGCAGTGGACCATGTTTCAGGTATTGATGGATTAAGTATTTATTGACCTAGAAGTAAATAAGCTTCCATGAAATGTTAGAGTAAAACTTTTGCCTCTAGGATTCTTACTTGATTCTCTATTTATTTAGTTTAATCCATGTTTGTCACATTCACCTCTGCCTGTTTGAAAATGTGCAGCAGCTGTTTTCAGTTTCCTTGAAACAAAAGAAGGCACAATGCATGAATACAAGTTTAAGAGGCATCCTGATACTTCTAAGCTACCAAAAATAGACCCCATCTGCAAGCAGCTATTACAGCCAGGATTTCCATGGAAACATTAATAAAGAAATCTTGAACCAATTAGAATAATTAGAGAGTAGTGCTGTCATGTAGACTGAGTACCTGTCCTGAGAGTCTGTCTTGATCATTCTTTAAGCACAGAAAAACATAAGATGTATCTGTGTGAAGTGTATTTCTTGATTCAGCACTTCAAAAATAGTTCATATCTACATTTCCAAGCAAAAGTTATAAATACCTTTATAGCAACAGTGACATTAAGTTAATAAGCTAAAAATGAAAGAGTTAAGATTAAAAAAACATTTAAAAATTAGCCCATGTAAGATCTTTTTATTGTTTTTTTCTTATTTCTTATAGGTTGATGCTTGTTGATATCTAGCCATACTTCTTATTTAATTTTATTACATTTTAATTTCTTTATGAAGTTACAGTATGCTTGATGTGAAGATAAATGAGATTATACTGGTCCCTGTATTAAGGAACATCAAAGCTAAACTGAGACCTATGAATATTTATACACATATTCTCAAACTTAAGGATATAGAGTTACAAAGTGGCCATTTGCTAAAGTCTTTTTATGATTAGGTTGTGGTTTGGACATGGTCCCAACACGGTTGGAGCCCAAATAACGTGTGTCCAAATAATGTGGGATTCCCTGCTGTGTCTGAGTGTTTAATTCCTGTTTTATTTCTCCCTTTCAGTTCTCATCCAGATTTACTTTTAAACAGGTTTCATAAAAAGTTAAGCAGACTGGAATCCTACAAACACACTATGTGTATGACAACTTTCACTGTTGTTAGTAGCTCAATTCTTACAGTGTTAGAATTTAATATGGATGCAGAGCTTGCTTAAGATTTTTCTGCTGTATGACCCAAGTTAATTTTGCAATGACAGGTAAATGGCTAAACTGGTAGGAAGAGGAATGGGGTAATGGCTGGAAGAGAGAAGCCTTTGGGAGAAGCCAGGCTTTCTACTCTGGGTTAAGGAAGGCTGAAGCTCATGGCCAGTCCTGGCCTCATTACATGTTTTGCACACCTTTCTCTTTGTCTCCTCTTCACCTCACGGGAATAGCAGCAGCAGCACACCAGACTTTCTGGGTCTCTGGAATAGACAAAGTTGACAACCGCTTTGTCACTGTTTTGCATCAGTTTTGTTACCGTTGTTAATTTGCTGCTTTGGGCTGCTGCCCACCTTCCTGGGGATGGCAGGCTTTCACTCTCTTTCCAAAATGCATCTGGTTTTAGAGTGTAGCCTCTAATTGCAGGTAGATATGAAATAATAATACTTAATATTTATAACTGCATTGACATTGAAGCAAGATGTTGTGGAATAAAATGTATAAATGGTAATATAATTTGAATATACAGTGAACAGCACATCTTCAGCACTGGAACCATGAGGCTGGGAAATAACACATTTGTAGCAACAAATTGAAATAACAAAATCTATTTCTTGGTAAATTTATTTTTAAAATATTGATCTCTCATACTACCACTTGCAGTAGTCATCACTGTAATGCTTAGAAACCTAGGTAATGACTCAGTATATTATGTTGTGCTAGGTGCTGTACATTTATTAAAAGATGTTCCCTACCCAAGTACCTTACAAGCTGATGGTGAGTCAGCAAATGGACAGAAGAAACACAATGGGCATGAACACAAAGACATAGTAAGGTCATTATTTTTGAGCAGGGAAAGGCAGTAGTTACAACGCATCAAAACCAGCCATGGTCAAGGGCTTTTATCAAAGTTTCACAGAAAAGAGAGTATTTTGTGGAGCCTATTTAGTTCATTTTTTTGATACTGAACAGGAAAACATACAATCTCTTGATTTTAGTAGGTGCTTCTGGAAAAGCACTGGACATTATGAGGGTTTGCAAGAAAACAACAGGAGTTGTTAACAAAACGACATCTGGCATCTACTGATTCTGGATAGCTTAGGGCGTTTGGGAGGATCATTAAGCTTAAAGCTTGTTATATCTCTAATAAACTATTGGGTAGGTGCTGTGTTGATTTGTCCAGGACTAGGAGTAAGAGAAAATGATTAAAATATACCACTGTTAAGAATTTTTTTGTAAGAATGAATATATTTTATTTAGGTCACATGATTTTTGAGTCATAGAACTTAGACCTTGAAACATTTGGCTCTGGAAAACTTTATAGACAATACATGGATGTTTCTTCATCCTCTTAGGGAATATTTTCTAAGGCACAGCTGGTAGTCATCATCCATGTCACCCAGTCATGCTGTCTATTTGGTGTTGGAAATAAACGGAAGTTACTGTTTAGAAAATGTCTGTTAATGTCAACAAAACTATCACTCTGTGTACTGAGGTCATTTCAGTGATGAAAAAATGTTAGAGCTGAAGAGTTCATAAAACTTATTGGATATCAGTATCAAATGTTTTATTCAGATGATGAGTATGCTGATTCTCAATAGCTCTCATTCACATATAAATAAGGAATAAGAATATATATATGCAGGTATGTGTGCATTTTTAACAGTTGCTAAATGTACACAGGAAGGGAGGCTAAAAATGGTTCCTCCATTACTGAGCTTTAAACTGAATGCTGCATGTTTTTAGGACTTTTCCTCTGTGAACTTTTAAACAACAGATGATCTTTTTCAGATCGATTAATAAAGCAGTTTGTTTAAAAACCTGATTTAAATATTTAATTCTAGCCTGATAACTTAGTTGCCCTATAGCGATTTTATTTGTTTGCTTGTTTAATACTTGTTTGGTTGTTGGTTAGCTGGGGGTTGTGATGATATGTGACTAGTTACTATTTGAGATAATGAGTATACTTTTAGTTGTTCAATGTTCTGAGTAAATACAATTTATAGGTTGAAAAAAATTGTCAATGGACTCTTTCAGATTGTTGAGAATCTTATAGAAGTCCAATAGAAATAGCCAAACTTGTATAGATTTGGCTTAATTGTTTTTGGTTTTACACCTAGCCCTAGAATCACTGAAAGGTACCTGAATGAGAATTTAAAGATCAGGTGTTACAATTCCTTACTTACTTAAGTTTTGTAAAGGAATTCTTAGATGTTAAACAGGGGCCTTGCACTCCAGTATATGGTTGGATAGTTTGGATTTCCTGTGTTGGAGACTTTTCAGAACATCCAAAGGAAAAAAAGTTGGTTTTGTTTGTTTGAAAATTGGGGGGGGCAGGAAATGTCATTCATATGGCAGATACGTACTGGCTTAGTCCAGCAGAGGGAGTAGCTGACCTACGTTGGGATTGGCTTTGGGTAATTTGTCCATAGGAAAAATGGTGATGAAAGCCTTCTAACTGTATATTATTTAAAATTATATGTCATTAATTACAATCATAAGTG